GCAACTTTATTATGGTTTCACTGTATTTTTGATTATTTAAAAGGTACCTTGGTTAACAGAAGTATCACTTTCAAAAACCATATAATATTCTTTTATATCGTGTGTGTGTGTGTAATATATGTATATATATATATATATATATATATAATGTGTGTGTAATATCAGTATATTTTATAAGTATATTTTTATTTATTTTTTATTTATTCAAATATACATTTATATATTTTTCTGCTCTCTAGAAACTCCCTATTGGATGTGACGAGGGCCCTGGGAATCATACCAGTGAAAAATCACAATCGTCCAGATCCTGATTGGATCTGAAGACTTCGTCACCCTGCTCAGTTCAGCAATGGCTCTGTGCTTGGGGCAGGTTTTCAGCAAAGACAAAACATTCCGGCCTCGAAAGCGATTTGAACCTGGAACCCAGCGCTTTGAGCTGTACAAAAGAGCCCAAGCGTCTCTGAAATCAGGCCTGGACCTGAGGAAAGTGGTGCAGCTGCCGGACAGGGAGAACATTAATGACTGGATAGCTGTGCATGTGGTGGATTTCTTCAATCGAATCAACCTCATCTACGGGACCATGAGCGAGTTCTGCACTGAGAAGAGCTGTCCCATCATGTCTGGAGGGCCACGTTATGAATACAGGTGGCAGGATGGGGATCAATACAAGAGGCCCACCAAACTGCCTGCTCTTATATACATGAACCTCCTGATGAACTGGATCGAGTCCCTCATCAACAATGAGGACATCTTTCCTACACGAGTAGGTGCGCGACGTCAGATATGTTTTCCAGACAAATCAAATCACTGTGATAGGGCTCATTTACTTTTGTTAATTTCCCAAATGTTTTTTTCGTTTTTTAAAATTATGTTAAAAGTTAAAATAATGTCAGTGTGGGATAACGGTTTTAATATCATAATATGGAAACATGCTTTATTAAAAAGAGGAAACTCTTTAAACTCTTTTTAAAAATCTTTATCTTTTATTGTTATTTCTTAGAAAAAATATTTTAACAAAACTGCTTCACTGCTTATTAATATTTGAAAAACCTTCAAGTCACGTAGTGCAAAAAACAGTGAATAAAACAGGAAATTGGGAGACACCTGCTGACTGTGTCAAGCTCAAGAACAGTGATATATTATAGTTTTTATTAATATTTTGAATCAGTTTTTATTTTTATATTTTTAATTTTAGTTTGTTTTATCATTTTAAGTAGATTATAAAAAAATTGGCAACTACCTGAAATAGGACACTTTTTTTTTTTCTTTTTTTTTTTTACATTTTTTTACATTTCTGTAAACATTTATTTTATTTCAAGTAACAAATTATTATTTTTATTTTTTTTTTTTTTTTTTTTAAGTTTAGCTTTTTAAGGTTAATTTAAGTTACAGTTATCAGATATATTTACTTACAAATATCAGATAATTTATCCTTTTCAATAAATAAAATGTAATAATATTTTTATGAATTAATAATGACATTTAAAAAAAAATACCTTATATATATATATATATATATTTAAAAACATTTTTGAAAATAATTATTTAAATCACAAGTATTTACGGTATAAGGAAAATATGCTATTACATTTTATGTGATGGTTATCACATAATGAAAACCAACATGAATACAGAGAGCACATTTCTAAGAATTTAACACATATGCATTACTGGATTTTCCTTTTCTTTATTGTGGGCACTCCTATTTGTCATTGACCTTTAAGCTCATTTAGTAAATCGCTATGAAAAGCTTAGTATATTAATAAATGAGCAGAGATGTACAAATAATGGAAATAAGACAAAAACAGTTAGACGCAGAAATATTAACGGGTAACTGGCTAGAGAAATGATCCAGTTACGTTTCTCAGGAATTGCCGTATAATTTGTGGGGCCAGGGATCACCAGACACATACTTCTGTCTGAAAAAATATTACTGGATAGAGTTACAGAAGCTATACTTATAAGCACTGCCAACAATTCATAATTCCACAGACTGAACTATTGGCCGAAAACCCTCGAGACATACTCTGTGTGCTTTTTCTCCTAAAATAGCATTTGAATTTTCTCATGAAAGAAAATCATACAGCATCGTGAATGTGATGTGATTTGAGTGTGATGCTGGTTCTCTTCTGTTTTTAGGAGTCCCTTTTCCAAAGAACTTTCAGCAGGTGTGCAAGAAGATACTGAGCCGCTTGTTTCGAGTGTTTGTACACGTGTACATCCATCACTTTGACATGATCTGTAGTATGGGAGCTGAGGCCCACATCAACACCTGCTACAAACACTATTACTACTTCATCTCTGAGTTCAGCCTCATCGACCACTCGGAGCTGGAGCCGCTTGTGAGAGCGCTGTGCTTTCATTACTGTGGCCACATACACACTGCAGCTAAATGCAGCTTCATCTTCACCTTTTAGTGCTTAATCCTGTTCTGTACACGGACGGTTCAGTAATTTACGGGAGTGACAATTAAAAAAAGTTTGACTGCAGAAAAATTCAGGTAGTGGCAACCGCATTTACAGAAATTCTATGCAATGTGTACAGAACCGAACTTGATGTATTTAAATGCATATCAGAGAATTTCTTTCATCTGCAAGTAATCACAGGGAAGGAGGTACAGCTTGACTCTGTGTTGCCAGATATTACTATAAAAAAGGCAAGATCCAAATGTGTTATCTTGGAAATAAGCACATGCCAAAATATCATGACCTACACCTGCCTACATTGTTATCTCTATAAAATGAGCTGAGCCCAAACAACAAGGCCTTGAACACTTAATAAGCATTGCTTATAATGAGTAGACATGGCAACCTGGGGCCTGTTTCATAAAACAAGTTTACCAAACAAGACAGGTTTATTTCAGTTAGTCTGACTTATTGTCAGTTGATGTGGTTCAAAATAAGTCAGACTAACTGAAATAAGCCTGGCTTATTTGGTAAACTTGTTTTATGAAACAGGCCCCTGCTCTGCGAAGCAGCCTTCCAACATAAACAAAACACGACAGCTCGGTTGACGGTGGTTTAGCTAAAGACTCGTTATGTTCATCGGTTTTAACTAAACCACTGACAAAAGAGCCATTGTATTTTGTTTATGTTTTGGAAGGCTACTTTGCAGAGCTCGCTCTGGAAGTCTTGCCATGTCCACTTATTATAAGCGACGCTAATAAAGCATCTTTGGGCTTGGCTCATAGAGCGATCCAGTTTACGGAGTTAATAAAGTAGCAGGTGCAGGTCACTATATTTTGGTATGTGGCTTAGTTTAAAGAATCCATGTTTGGATGTGAGTTTAAGGGGGGGTTTTTCTAGCAAGATCTGACAACACTATGAGTCAAAACGTTCCCTATAATTTCTTTCATCGCACATACAGTAATGACAAAACACTGATATGCATTTAAATACGTCATTAACAACTAATTGCACACTTCGGTTGTGCACATGCTGCGTAGAATTTCTGTAAATGCGGTTGTCACTTTTTCGGGTGTTCATTCGGTTGTAGAATTCGGATGTCACTCCCGTAAATTACTGAACTGTGTGTGAACAGAACAGTAATAAGCACTGAAAAGTGAATTGACAACCGATTTTAACTAAAGTGTGTACGCTGCGACTGTGTTACTGTTATTAGACACAAAACAATAAATTATGATAGTGGCAGTTAGCAGATTGCACTCTGCTTTAGCTAACTATGAACAACTAGATGCTGACAGCACATTGCAAATGCTTGTGATGTATGTCCTAATAACTTTGTCCTTTCTGTCTTCACAGAAAGAAATGACAGAGAAGATCTGTAACTGAAAGATGCGGAGAACGAATGGGAATCCAAATGTCAAACATTCAGACCCAAGTTCTGATCTAAGATCAGACGAGATCAGACTCACAAATGAGCTAAAATGCAATGCATCTGTGCTTCTTACTGAAATACTTGTGGGTCCAGTAATTCAACACACGTTCTTGAGACAGTAAATGTTTAAATTATGTACTGTATCTCAAATTCTGGAGCAGTGATCTGAAAAGATGCATCGATTGCTTAGTATTCTGCATACATTTTTTTGAGCAATTCACCACGTGACTTCAAAGAACCTTTTAAAATATTTGTTCCTGAGGATAACATGTCTGGAAATGGCATGTCTTAAACTTCTGCCAAGTTTGAGAGGTTGCATTCTTCCTCTGTCGTGTCTGTGCCAGTGCAGGGGCAGAAGCCTTTGCTAGTATCTTTATTTAACCAGGGCATGTGCAGTAAGAAACTATTACCATAGCTAGTGACTGATGATGAATAGTACTCAACGGGATTATTCTTATTTCAGACATTTTGTTCTGACAATGTGCTGTTTTTGCCGATGTTTTTTTTGCATGCAAGTTTAAAATACAAACATTTTAAATGTCAATACTCTCTTCTTTATTTTAATTTATTTTAATTTTTTTTTTATTGGATTGGAAAATCCAAAACATAAGTTTCTCATAAGAATGAAATATTAATTTCAGACATTTCTTATACTGTGTGAGCACATCTAGCCTACATGAAGATGTATTTAATGCAACAAATGTTAGGAAATATAAAAGTACAATCTGATTCAATATGTTAATACATTATAGCAGCATAATAATAACACCGAAACTCACTACACGTCAAACTAGCGATTGCATAACTCCTTTATGGGGACTCCACTACGGACACGGTAGCCAGCAGCATTAACATTAAAAGATCGAGTTTCATTCCGTGTATGAGTCTAATCATTAAATTTGACCGACACCAATCCTGCAGTCCTCCTTAGCCCTAGTCTGTGAGTGAAACCGGTATTTCTCCAGTGCGAAATACGAAATATATGAATCAGATTCGTGCGTGGCAGCGCCGTCTTAGATATGAATATTCATTAGCTCATGCTTACGTAACTTCGTAATCTCCCCTGTTCGCCCAATCACGTAACCTACTTAATATTCATGAACCAATTCGTCACCATAGTATGATTCCAAATGCCCCACAGCGTCCAACAGTAGGAGGGCAGTTGGCGCGTTTGGGGTGGTGCTGTTGTGTTTCTGTGTTGTTGTCCTCCTCCTCCTCACTGCTGCTGTTCAGCGCAGGATGGCGGAGGCAGTCACGGCACAGCTAGACTCATTCGGCCGCAATTTCCAGGTTTGAGTTTTTTTTTTTTTTTTAAATATGCATAAAATATGTAACGTATACATAACCGGTTTGTTACACGAGCTCAAATAGCTATACTAAGGTCAGCTCGCTGATGCTTACATCTGTGTCATGATATGGCTTTACGGGTCGCTCGATTCGCGCCAATGATTCGTTAGATCGCAAAAACAAACGCTTGTAACGTTCCTTAATTCTGAACGCGCGAGTTATCACAGTCAATTATTTCGTGTCTTAAAAACGAAGATTTTCAGTTAAGTTACTCAAAAAGCATTATCTATTTAGTTAGCGCCATCACAATTCTGCCGACACTGCTACACTTAAGTAATTCTGACACTTGTTGTTTTTTTCGTAACACATTTTACAGTTCTTCTTTTCTTAAAGGGATAGTCAGTTCACTCCATAAAGAATTCTGTCAGTTGATTCAGTCAAACCGAGTCTTCGTGGAACATAAAAGAGGGACTGAGATCCCTAGTCTCCCTTCACTTTCATTGTGCAGTGAAAGTGAACGGCGACCGTAGTTGTCATTCTGCTTAATAACATTTATTTTCATGCATCACAGAGAAAAGAAAAACAATTTTTAGAAGTTTGGGATGAATTGTTCCTTATCAGTCAGTTTGACATCTACTGGTAGCCCTTACTACGCTAATCCATCCGTTACGTTACCCAAAAACCGTTATTATTTATTAACGAATGGCGATATCTCTTATACTACGATTTATATTGGTATTATTTTCCTACATGTCACTTATCATTCAATCCACCTGCATTTCTCTGTAATTACGTAAAACCGTAATATATCCTGTTGAGTGTGCTGGATTTTCCCCTCAGCAGCCAGATGACAAGAATTTGACCAAACACGTCAGGACAGTGATATCGCTTCTCAATGCGGAAACTAAGTGTTTAAATAGCTCTAACATGATTTCACTCAACCTACTTTGAAGAAAACCAGCTGTCACGGTTCCGTCTCGCGCGGCTTCTGGAATGATCGTGTCTGCTTCTTCTTTCAGATCGCGGACCTTCAGGCGCTCCACTGCTCACGCCAGGTACTGAGTATCACGATTTAACTTAAAACGGGCTTTTGACTTGTTTGTGAGTCTCAAACTGCGGGTAAATAAGTAAAACAGAACTAACCGTCTAGTATAGGCATTTCATGCTAGGTATGGGTGCACACATTAGTCACGTGAGCCTTGTTCAGTGAGAAATCTGATAAGTGCACAGCACACTGCAAGTTTTACAGCGTAGTGTTCGCTTCCTCTTTCTCTGATCTCGATAGTGAACTGCTAACTTATTGATCATTTAGTCTTACACAACTTTAATATGATGGAAATATAAGGATCATTTAGCCTTTAAACTTTTATGGGGAAGCATATAAAGCACACAAGGTCATATCTGTGTGCATGTGAATGTCAGTGACCGCCTGGCTCTTGTTTACTCCATTGGAAATGCTCAAGTAAACACCTTTTGTGTTTATCCTTGATGCTTTGCATATTGCAAATAAGCTTTTTTTCCCAGCAGCCTTGGTTCCGGAAGTATTTCCCCCAATCATTTTCATATAGGCATATTTAAAAAGTCTTTATACCAAGAACCAAAACTATATGACTCGCAACATAAACTTTGATTTGAAGGGAAAAAGTATGAGAAAATCAGACAAATTATTTACAAAGCACAATTATTTAAAAAATAATTTGAAATAATGTGAACTGATGCGTAAAGCATATACAATCAATTAACAACCTTGTATACAGGTTTACAAGTTATCATTCAAAATCAGCTCCCCTATGGAGAAAACGAATGGGATTTTTATTTCTGCAACCCGACTATTGCACTCTATATGCCTCTAGAAGCAAAGGAGCATTGCTGCTGTGTTTTAAATGTAAAATTTTCTCTCTTTCTCACAGATAACTAGTAGCGCTCTGGCATCTGGCCAGGTGGAGAGCCGTGGTCCGATCTCTCATGCCCCCAACAGCCCCGCAGGTACAGATGCTTGTGACGAAACATTTAAAAATACACCCTTCAAATCATCCAGTCATTTCAAAAAAATAAATTCTGACAGAATACCTAAGAATCTGTAATGTAACATCTGGTGGATTTGTGTTTTTTATTTATTTTTTTTATTTTGGGGTTAGGAATGGAGAGCAGTCAACCAATCACCATCACAGACCCGGTTACACGGCGGAAGAAGAAACGCAGAACTCGGGCCGCAGACAGTTTAACTGGCAAATTTAGTGGTACTAAACCATCTTGAACTTTACAAAAGCTCTTATTAATCCTCATAATGTGCGCCTTTTTGTTCTATGGTTTATCCTCAGCATGCAGTCTGTATAATCTGTGCATCATCAGATCTTTCAAAATGTGTGATTGCAACATTTCCTGATTGGGTAAGGTGAGTCAACTCACAAGTGTGTGTGTGTGCTTTGTAGATCTGTACAAGCTGACGGACGAGCTGCTGGGTCAGGGAGCTTATGCTAAAGTCCAGGGCTGTGTGAGTTTACAGAATGGCAATGAGTATGCTGTCAAGGTGAGATGATTTTTTTTTTTCATGATTTTGTAGTTACAATTACATGGTTTCTGTGGGTATTAAAAAGGTTTTAAAGTCTTTAATTTGCCCTTCCACAAATTAAAGCCTTAAATCAGAGCAGAAAGTCTTAAAATCAAGAAGTCATGGCATTAAATGTTGCATGCACTGCAAAAAATGTCCATTCTCCTCAGTATTTTGTATTTTTTTCCAATACAAACATCCTTACATCAAGATACATTTGCTTGAGATGCAGAATGAAGAAATAAAGTCTTGTTTTCTGAGAAATTGGACAAAATGAAGTGAGTTTATGTTTAAAACAAGAACAAATATCTGTCAATGGGGAATAAAACCTTGTTTCCCTTGGAATTAAGTTGATTTTTCTGAGCCCATTGGCAGATATTTGTTCTTTTTTAATCAGAAACCCACTTCATTTTGATCAATTTCACTGAAAACAGTGAAATTGCTTGTTAAGTAAATGTTTTTCGATTTAAGAATTTTTAGACATTTGCTCTGGAAAACAAGACAAAAGTACAGATTAAAGGTAGGGTAAGCGCTTTTTCAAAAACGCTTTAGAAAACCGATTCGGGCGTGATTATAATGAGTTCTATAGTATTTTGTCGCGCCACGCCACTCGCGTCTGGTGTAGGCATGGTGTAACATTGGTTTTGCTTTGTTTCACAGAACAAATCGTTGCCTGGGTTGCGTACGTATATGTGGGGCGGAGCTATCAAAATAGGGGCAAGACCCTTAATTTCAGAATTTACTGTAATTGACTGTAGTTCGTATTATACATAACTGCTCAACTGCATACATTGTGTGTTTCTCTATAGGAACATTCTGGAGCTCATTCAGTTTTTTGAAGATGACTGCTGTTTCCATCTGGTGTTTGAGAAGTTGCTTGGAGGTACTGTACAGTTGTATAATAAATTATATATACTAGCGGTCGACCGATATGGGTTTTTTGACAGCCGATACCGATGCCGATATCTTGGAAAGCAGGGTGGCCGATGGCCGATATAAAGCCGATATAATTTTATTTATTTTAATTCGTATTTAAGAAATTTAAGTAACGAACCCGCACACTATCAATACTTGGTAATTCTTAAACTTTATTAAACGCAACGTTTCTGTCCACTGACCTCCATCAGGCAAATGCACTTTAAATGTACAGACTTATTTTTGATTCAACTTTTTGTTTGATTTTGTTCCCATGCACCTATCGTCGTTTCAGGTGTGCTGAGTTTACGTTGATTGAGTATTTAAGAAATTTGAAATAATTTGAAAATGGATTAAAAAATAATCGTGTAAAATAAACATACTTATACTCTAGAAGACAAAGTATTTTTCACAAATAAATAAATATTTAATAAAAATACAATTAAAAAGGAAGTAAACACTGTAATCAACAGGGCACTCAGTATTCTGGGAAGTTTGTGTGCATTGGGAATCATATTTTTTCAAATAAAGCCAAGGTAACACTCATTTTACATACAGCACACAGTGAAACTGACATGAATATGACAGTGGAGAAATGCATAAAGCGCAGCATAATTTGAAATCAGTCACGAGTTTAAAGTTTGTCGATTGCGCGTCTCCAGTGAAGCTGAACTCTCCTCCTGTCCAGTGTCCGCATTCAATTCGCACGGACCGACCGTCACAGAACACGCAGTCATGGAGGTCACATGCACACTTCACACGATCTCAACTAGATTCGACTAAGTCAGGTTTGTGAAATTAAATGTTCATTAGTCATTCAAAGATTTGTTTAAATTATATAAATGCGTATTTG